GTTCCTTGGTCAAAAATGACCAAGGGTGTCACTTTCTTGAAGCAAACACCCAACCAGACCATGACCTTTTGAGGAAATTTTTGTTTCATTTTAATGCCACTTCTTGCAATCTAATTAGTTTCTGTTGCAGTTTTTGTTTACAAAAAGACGAAATAATCTCTGAATATGAATGAAGTGATGAAATAAAAAAAAGGTGACTAGAACGGGACAAATGAAAAATAAGTAGCTTTTGCAGAAAATAACGGGTGTTCCATAAAGTATGGGCCTCTCAGTATTTTCTCGACATCTCAGTTAATACTTATTTATTCAGAAATAATTTTTTTTTCGAAAGATTTGTCTTTTTGTCCTCTACAAAAATCTATACTTCGTATTTCATTCAAACGTATCTTGTCCTTGTGATAAGATGAAAAGTAAAGACCTTCAAAAGTTGGTTTTTTGTAAACACGAAGATGGTGATGGTTCAACTAAAATCTTTCGTGATTTAAAAGGGTGCTTGGGGTTAAATACTATAAAAAGATGGTGCAAGATGATCCACGGCACCGGTTCTATCCAGCTGTCAACATCGCCAGGTAGACCACGTCTTGCTCGGACCAGTAAAGTTATTCAAAAAGTCAAGCACCGACTGGAACAACAAACTATGGTGTCGGTTCGAAGTTTAGCTAAAGAGTACGGCACATCCAACACAAGTGCTTATCGAACATTGAAAGAATATCTCAAGCTTCATTCCTATAAGAAACTAGTTGAACCAAGACTGAACCACGAACAAAAACACAAACGACAAAGCATTCGTAAAATGGGTCTTTAATAATTTTGGAAAAGAAGACACCTTGAGAATTTTATTTTCAGATGAAAAATTCTTGGATATCGATGGCATATACAATTCCCAAAACGAATCTATTTGGACGGTTAGTCGTGCAGAGGCAAATGAAAGAAGTGGCATTAAAATGAAACAAAAATTTCCTCAAAAGGTCATGGTCTGGTTGGGTGTTTGCTTCAAGAAAGTGACACCCTTGGTCATTTTTGACCAAGGAACAGCCGATCATGCTGAATATATCCAAAATGTTCTTCCAATAGCACTAGAATATGGAAATAAGACTTTTGGAGGACATTGGACATTTCAACAAGACGGTGCGAAGCCTCACATCCACCACCTAACAGAAAAGTGGTGTCTGGACAACTTTCCATCGTTCATAGATAAAGATCATTGGCCACCGAATAGTCCAGATTTAAATCCATTGGACTATTCTATTTGGGACAAATTTGCAGTGTCCACTAGCTGGAACAAAGTTACATCAAAAGACACTCATTGAAGAATTGAAACGTGCAGTGAAAAAAATACGACAAGATGTTGTTTTACAAAGTTGTACATCTTGGACTGTTCGTTTGATACGTGTCTTAGAAAATGATGGATGTTATTTACGTAAATAAAAATACATCATTTTGTTGAGTTTTAAAAGATGAATTTTTTTTAAAAAAAGCCGAGACTAAACAAATGAATGTCAAGAGAAATATCATCAAAATACCGGGAGGTCTATTCTTTATGGAACACCTGTTAATATTAACACTTTGACGGCGAAGGTCTTAAATTTACGATTTCGAAATTTGTCTAGAGAAAAAAGCCATTAAGTGCACTTAAACAAAGTTTTTTCATATGTTTTGTATTCAGACATACGTGTCGCTAGCAATGGCGTTATGCATTGGCGTTCTATACAATATATAACGATATGTGGTTCACTATCCTTAAGTGAGATACTGGGACATCTATCGTAAGGCACTATTGTTGGTTTATCTGGAACCAACTATTTTATATATCTAGAATATTCTGTACGCGTACTATAAATAGGAGATACGTTTATAGTATTGATGACATAAAGTGTGCGGTAAAAATCATATCATAGCAGAAATAATAACAACTTGTATCGTTGTAAACCACTTTGATACATTAAATTCACGTGTTTTGCTTCTTTCGAAATATTTTCTTGAATTATTATGGCATCTAACAGTGAAACTGATTCAGATGTGACCGAAACTTTCACAAATGTTGAATCTGATGAGTCGGATAATGATTCAGTTAGTAACTCCTACAAAGGATCGGGTAGCGGTGAAGAAGAAGAACAGGATAATGAATCAGATAATGAAGAAGAACAGGATAATCACTCTGATAGTGAAGAAGAACAGGATATGGCAGAATCTTTGAACGAAAGACGACGGAGAGTAGATCGATCCAAACCAAAACAATTTCTGTTTGACTCAAGTGAATCTGGTATTAGCTCAAATGTCAAACAAATTGATGAAAATTCTGCATTAGAGTACTTTCGTTTGATATTTGACGATAACTTAATGCAAATAATCGTTGAAGAGACAAATAGATATCATTTGTATAAAATGAAACATGAAAATCTTCCTAAAAGATACCATGAAGCAATCTGTGCTACTATACCCGAAATGTACAAATTTTTTGCAGTGTATATGCTAATGGCTCATACCAAAAAAAGTTGAATAAAAGAATACTGGTCTACTGAACCATTGATCTCAACACCTATGTTTGGAAGCATCATAAGTAGAGACAGATTTCATTTAATACTACGATTTTTGCACTTCAGTGATAATGAAATTCAAACGTCTAATGATAAACTATATAAAATTAAGCCAATAATTACTTATTTACGTCAAAGATTCCGAAAAATTTTCGTTCCTTATCAAAATTTATGTATAGATGAAAGTTTAATGTTATGGAGAGGTCGACTTAGTTTCAAACAATATATTCCAACAAAAAGAAGCAGATTTGGAATCAAAATATATGTTTTGTGTGATGTTAATACGAGAATGATTTTAGATTTCATTGTTTACACTGGAGCCACTACTGAAATAAGGAAATTTCCAGATATCGGCACTGGATGATGCAAATGAATTACAAAGTAATTCAAAAAAATTGAATTACAAAATAATTCGAAATTTTTATATCCGACCAGGATCTCCAGGATCTACCAGGGCCTACCAGGACCTCCAGGATCTACCAGGACCTACCAGGACCTACGGGGGTTTACTAGGGTCTACTACGGTCTCGATGTGGGTGCCACGAAGCAACTTACATCATATCTCTCTTGGTGTGGGTGCGGCGAATGGACTTACATCACGTCTCTCTCGATGTGGGTACCGCAAAACCCCAGTAGACCCTGGTAGATCCTGGAGATCCTGCAGACCCTAGTAGATCCTGGAGATCCTGGAGATCCTGGAGATCCTGGTAGATCCTGGAGATCCTGGAGATCTCGAAGATCCTGGAAGATCCTGCAGATCCTGCAGATCCTGGTTTATGAGAATAAACTTATTACAATTATATGCATATATTTCTATAAATATGTAATGGAGAAATTTTGAATTATTTTGTAATTCAGTTGCGTCATGAACTCGATATCGGAATTAGTGGTTCGATTGTTATGACTTTATTGCAGCCTTGCTTAGATAAAGGTCATCATTTATTCTTAGATAGTTGGTTTACAAATCCTTTACTTTTTGAAAAATTATATGCGAGATCGACTGGTGCCTGTGGAATTGTAAGACAAGGTCGAGTAGGTTTGCCTAAATTTGAAGATAAAATTGAGAAAGGACAACAAGTTTATCAAAATACAGACAATATGCTAGCCTTAAAATGGCACGATAAAAGAGAAGTTATGATGTTGTCCACTATTCATGAACCCCGAATGGAATTTACTGGAAAAAACTATCCAAAAACTGAAGTACCAATTCGAAAACCAGTTTCAATAATTGATTATAATTCTAAAATGGGAACAGTTGATAAAGCTGATATGCAAATTAGTTTTGTCGAATGTGTAAGAAAGTCTGTAAAATGGTATAAAAAATTATTTTTTCATCTACTTGATATATCAGTCTTCAACTCATATTTACTTTACAAAATGAAAACTAGAAAGAAACTTCAATTTATAGACTTTCGTTTACAACTTATACGTGAAATTCTACAAGTTTATAGTACCCCAAAACCTACAACGGGTCGACATATGCTAGGTTCTAACCCAACTAGACTTACTGCTCGACACTTTCCTTCTCTTGTGCCTCAAACAACAGATAGACAAAATCCTCAGAAAATTTGCGTAGTATGCGCACACGCTAGTAGAAGACCTAAACAGAGAACAGATTCACGGTACATGTGTAAAGATTGTAATGTAGGTCTTTGTGTGATTGGTTGCTTTGAGGAATATCATACTTTATTACATTTTTAATTTTTTTTGTATCTCCTTTCCGCATACTATATTGGTATTTGTGTTAGAGATTTTGTGTTTTTTTCTTGTTTTTATATCAACATAAACCAGATACACCTTTAAATCAAGACTAAGTGAAACAGTTATGATTTGTAATAATATTCAAGCTATAATAAATTTTAACAATAAAATTTCGTTTTTTTTCTTAAAAAAAAACTCCACCGCCAAAGTGTTAAAACATTCAATGTCGTAAAAATCGTAGAGTCACCTTTTGCCTTTGACTTCTTTCGAGCTTTATCGCGGGCAAATAGCATATTTTTGTTTCAAATTCACTACCAGTGTATCGACGCCCATCTGCTCGTCTAG